CCCTGTGGGGGCGCCGGCACCACTCACACAGGTGGCTCCGCTTGGGCGTCGCGGTACACCCCGCGGCCCCGCAGCCGGTCATGGGGCGATTCCAATTCCAGCAGAGCTCCACGCCGTCCTCGTCACGAGTGAAGCGACCGTCGCCGCGCGCGTTGTCTGGCCTCAACGAGGGGTTGCGCACCCGCTCGAGCCAGGCGGCGGTCTTCTCCTGCTTGCGAGAGCGGCCGCCGCTGGAACCCCTCCCCTCGGGCCTTGCGACGGCATGGTGGTGCCGGACCTCATCCCTGGCAGTGTCCCCCTCAACGACCGCAGCCTGCGCCGCGGCGCCGCTGACCGACGGCGTCTGGAGACAGGGCTTGTCCACGCGTGCGTACCACCAATCGCGATCCTGGCCGGTGCCGTAGGCGGTAAAGGAGATCACAGCCTCCCAAGGCCGCTCGGACGTAAGGCCGTGCGGCGTCCGGCCAGCCGCCCACTCTATCTCCAGCTCCTCACGGATCGTGGCCCAGCGCTCCGGACGCATGTGGTCCTCGACTACCACCAGCAAGCCCCAATGGTTGGGGAAGCCCTGGGCCAGCTGCCGGATCCCTTCCTCGTACGCGTCCAAAAGGTCAGGCTTGCTCAACTTGAGCTTCACCGCGAGGTTCCGGAAAACGCGCCAGCAGCGGCGCCACTGGTCAAAACTGCTCGGGCCCTGGATCGTCTTGGTCCGCAGCTCCCCGTCGACGAAGACCTGAGCTCTGCAGCTCATCAACTTCTGGAGGCGCTTCCCGTACGGACCGAAAACGGAGAAGTCCGCGTAGGGGGCTCGTTGCTGGCGACCTTGGCGGCCACCGCCGACAGCTGGTCGACGTCGTGGTTCTCGTACTAGATCTGGCGTCTTGGCGCTCCAAGCCTCGCGGTGTTCCGCCGTCAACTTCCGAAACTGTTCCGCCGGCAGGAGCAGGAACTCCCCTTCGTCCCCGGCGGCCAAACACGAAGAAAACTTCCGCCGGTGGTTGATCTGCGGTACCACCGCGGCTGCCGCCGCCGCCGCCGCAGCAGCAGCGTGGGCGGCCGCCGAAGCCACCGCTTCCGATGCATCGCGCCCGCCTGGCGCATCTGCCGGCGCAGCAGCGGCGCCCCGGGGCGGGGCAGCCAGAGGAGCGGCTTGCCGGCGAAGACCACCTAAGACCGGCCGCTCGTATCTCACAGCCTCCGCGAGGTCGCGGATCTGCCTGAGGAGCCGGCCCTCTGCAAGAGCGTTCAACGGGTTCCCGTCCACGACGACGTTCTTGACCGCCTCCAGGATGTTGGACTCGGTGCAGTCGAAAATGTCCGCGACCGAGATATTCTCGATGACGTCACCGAGGCCCTCCAAACTCGGCCCGCAAGCGGAAATCGTACTTCAGGAGCGTGACGGCCACGTTCACGGCCATGGACGCCTCGACGCGGAGCGTAGGCGGCGGCGGCGCCGCCTGCGCCTTCGGCGCGGGCGCCCCTCCTCCACTGGTGGGGACAAGACCCTCTCCAGCGGGCTCCCCACCCACCGACTCCCCGTCCGCCTGCGGCGCCGGGAGTAGGAGGCGAGACCCCGCCGGACCGGATCCTGGTGCCTCCCCGTCGAGACCAGTGAAGACAGGAGTTGAAGGCGACGCCATGGCCAACCCGGACGTGGCCTGGCGATCAGAGGGCAACCCCAAGATGACAATCGCAACCGTGCTTGCGCCAAAAATGGCGACGGTGTACAGCGACTGCCGTGCCTCCACCCGGACTCCCCCCCAGCCATTACTACGCCAACTCGTTTGCTTCACGAAACTCAGCGGTCCAGGCACAGATGCAACAAATTGTGCCGCGGACAGGTGCTGTCTCCCTCCTCCTCCGCGGAAGGAGGAGGGAGGAGGAGGAGGAGGAGGAGGAGGAGGAGGAGGAGGAGGAGGAGGAGGAGGAGGAGGAGGAGGAGGAGGAGGAGGAGGGAGGAACACACGCTGGGCGCAGTGTGAGGCCCTGCTGTCCTCGGGCCTCGGGCATCCGACCTCCCAAGAAAGAGCACGGCAACATGTTCTACCGTGTTTGGGCCCCTTGGGGCCGTCGGGCTTCGGGGCCATCAAAGGATGGCCCGGGGCGGAGAGCAGAAGGGGTCGAAGCCGCGCCAAATAGGAAGAGCACCACGTCGGACGTTTAGCCCGCTCAAGCTGCTGCACAAATGAGGCACACGACGCCAATGGAGATTGCCCGCGGTCCATGCAGAACCTCTGCGCCGACGAGGCGGAGACCCGTCACAAAAGAAACAAACCTCCGACGTGTGCAGGGACGGAAGCCCGCCTCCTCTCAGTCCCAGCACGTGTCTGCCCCAGGCTGTGCTGCCGAATCCCAGCGCGCTCGCTGAACACCCATGTCGAAGCCGAGCGGCTCGCGCACCTCGACGCCTCACGTGGCCAGCTCCCGTGGCGGACCCCACCCTCCCGAGGAGAAAACCGCGGCCTCCGGACGGCCGCCTCACAGAGGTCTCCAGAAGCCCGGCAGGCTCCACCGCAAAGGCTCACAGATGTCCGCACGCAGGAGCCCCTCGATCCTCGTCGGCCCTGGCCTCCCGCCTCCGCGTCCGCCGTCGTCTGCTCGCCTCCCGCTTCCTCTCCTTCCTGCTGCGCCTGGCTGCGCGGACAGCCTCTCAGCTCGGGGATGCGGCCACCAGCAAGCCGTGAGGTAAGCTCGACTGGGCGTGGCTGGCAGAAAAACCAAAACGCCACAAACATAAACTCTTGGTGCTCCGCGCGGCCTTCCTGGATTTGCGCTGGGGTGGCGCTGGAAGCGCCGCAGGGCGGGCCCAGCGCGGATCCAAGACTTCCGCGCGGAGCGCCAAAAGCTTATGTTCATGGCGTTTTTGCAGGGGCTCCTAACTTCGCGCTCCGCCCCCCGCGCGAAGCGCGAACAACTTCGCGCTCTCGCGCCGCCCCCAAGGGGGAGAAGAGGAGGGCGAGGAGGAGGGGGAGGAGGAGTGAGGCCCGCGAAGCGCGAAGCGCGACCCACTTCGCGCCCTCGCCGAGGAGCGCTCGCGAGCCTCGAGGGGCAGCGCTCGAGCCTCGCTCCTCGAGGCGGCGGGGTCCCCCGAGGCGCCGCCGCGCCGCCCGCGGCCGCCTCGTGGCCGCCACAGTGCCGCCCGCTGCCGCCTCGCCTCGCGGCCGCACGAGGGGCCCCGCCGAGGGTACGCCGCGCGGCCGCTCGGCGCCGCCTCGCCGCCGCGTCACCGCGCAGCTCACGCCACACGGCATGCACCACCTAGCTTCCACCAGGCAGCTTGCACCACACAGCTTGCACAGCATGGCCTGCACCGCACAGCCTGCACCACATGCCCCTCCACCACACGGCTTGCGCGGCGTGGCTTGCACTGCGCAGCTCGCACCACATGGCCTGCATCGCACGGCTTGCACATCCACAAGGAAAAAACTGACTGCTTGAGGCTCACGCTGGCTAACATTGCATAGTCGAGACAAGAGGACCTCTGCAAATGCTCGAGGGGGGACGATCGGGGGGATCGGCTCGGGGGGGGGGCACTGACTTGGAATCGGCGAGGAGTCGCCAATAGATCAGCCATAACAAGGTGGGGGCCGATGCTTCCGCCTCTGGGCCACTCCCTCCTGTCGTTGCCCCTGCGCATGTTCTTGCGAGACAGGGCGTGGGAAGGGAGTGGTACAGTTTTGCCCACGACGGTCGGAAATGCGGGCCCGGTATTCCTCTACGTTTGAACAACTTTGATGTGCCCTCGGACACCTCTGGGGCTTCCCCCCGGCCTGCGGAAACCTCCGGGGACATCACGGGTTAGGATCTGGGGCGGCCCTAAAACGTACAAGCTGTACCGTCTAGTCTGACGGCGCCTGGTAGGGGTGCGGCATCCTGGGATGTCCATGCGAGACCCTTGGATAACAATCATTGCGCAAGCACGATCCGACGACTTCAATGGAGGCCGCCCAGATGGGTTCCGCGCGGATGGGGTCTGAGGATCGCGCCGCATTGTAAGATGCGTTGGCGGCGTCGACATCGGGGCGGAGGAAATCGGGCTCCAGGTCGAGCCGCATAGCAGATGGATTGGCGATGCGGCGCGGTCTTCCGACCCCATCAGCTCGGACCCTAAATGGGCGTCCTAGATTCAAGGATGCAAGGGTATCGTTGGCAGGAGCGTCGCATCTCTCACCACATGCTGGTGGACGCACACACTGCAAGCACCGGTGAAACGTGCGCAAAGCTTGACGTGGTGGTCCTCCTCGAGCGCACCCTCAAGAGGGCGCAGACGACCCAAGTCCGACCTCTCGGGGCCGCCCCTCGCGGGCACGCACTCTTATTCTTTAGGCGGCGCGCCTGGGGGGGAAATGAGAAGGGGCAGGCCTTCTCTGAGAGGTCGGACATCCCCAGGCCTCCTGAGAAGTTTTCTTTGCCTTCCCAGAAGACACAGAGAACTTCTTAGAAGCTGCGAGGGCTTCTGAGAAGCCCCACCGCCTTCTGAGAAGGCCTTCTCCTTCTCGGGCCACTTCTCGCGGGCGCGAACACTCATTTCTGGCCAGCGGGCTGGGACACGGCCCGGGTCGGTGAAGCGGATGCAGGACGCGCGCGCACGCACACGAATGGAGGCCCGTGCAGGAGCGAGGCGAGAGGGCGAGAGAGACGAAGCAGCCGCTGACGCAGGAGATGATGACGATGATGATGACGGTGACGATGACGATGACGCCGTCGTCATCGTCATCGTCATCGTGACAGACCAGCAAAAGCCTCATGCGCAAACCGTCGGAACGACTGCCAAGACAAGCCTGTTGGGCGGGAGAGGGTGATCCAAGAGAGAACGAAGAGGACGGTGGACCCAAGGCGCCACGACAGCTCTCCCAAATCGACCTCCAGAGAGCAAAGCGCGCGGCAGGCACGATGGTCTGCGTGTGGTCCTCCTCCGTCTAGTTTGCCTCCTCCTCCTCCTCCTCCTCCTCCTCCTGCTCCTCCTCTTCCTCCTCCTCCTCCTCCTCCTCCTGCGGCGCCCTGGTCAGCGCTTCCATCTCCGCCTTCCGCTTCTCGACGCGCTCCTCGTAGCTCATGCCGTTGTCCACGCACATCGGGTGGATTGCCTGTGCGGCCCAGGGCTGGGCTCCTAGCCCCAGGGGAGGAGTAACACTGCCACAAGAGAGGTCGGATGAGGTCAGAAAGAGAGAGAGAGAGAGAGAGAGAGAGAGAGAGAAAGAGAGAGAGAGAGAGATAATGAAAGGGAGAGGCAGAAAACAAAAAATTATCCTGGCGAAGGACCCAACCATATGCAGTTGTGAGTATCGCAATTGTGAGTATCTTCTTCGGTGGCGCTCCCTATGGGGCCACGAACCGCATGAGGGGTGTGCCGAAATGTGGCGGGGTACACAACGCAAAGGAATACGATAGATCTGATTACGAGAGAAAGAACGCGGGTGAGTCAGAGCGCGAGGGAATCTGAGTATGAATGGGTCTGCGCGCGAGTGAATATATTTGCATGAATGCGATCATGGAACCGCCTAGTGTAAGTGTCGAGCATGCCTGTCCGAACACACGTGACACTGGGCGTGGCCGCCGCAGGCAGCTTCCGCGGGAACCCCGACGGCAGCGTCCGCACGTCGCGACGCCCATGTCGGCACGCCTCTTGCGAGGATCGCGCCCGCTTTCGGCTCTTCTTTTCCTTCCTCTTTGCCCGCGCACTCCAAAATCCAAGGCTGCGGGCGCAGCGCAGCGCGGAGTCCCCGCGACGCGCGCTGGTCGCCCCGGGCGGGGTCCCAGCGACGCGCGCGGGTCGTCCGCTGCGCGAAGCAGAGAGAGCTGACTAGCTAACTGGCTGGCTGATAGCGGGCAAGTCTCTGACCGCTGGGCAGAGCGACGACGGGCGAACGAGGCGCCGGGCCCCCCGCAGCACGGAGTTCCCGCGACGCGCGCTGGTCGCCCCGAGAGGGTCCCAGCGACGCGCGCGGGTCGTCCGCGGCGCGAGGCCAAACAATTAGTCGGGCAGTCGAGAGAAGGCGCGGCTCGGGGGAGACGCTCCTCAGGTCAGGCCTCGCGGATGAACTCGGTGAAGCCGAGCTCCCTGGCGAGGGCCGTCGCTTCCCTCCTGCACCGCTTCGTGCGCGCCGCAAACTGCTCCAGCTGCTTCCGCAAGCCCTGCGGCGGCCCTGCCAGGAAGAACTCGATGCGCGGCGCCCGCATGAGCAGGAGGTCCTCGTGGCGCGTGGCGCGCGAGAGCAGCACGTAGAGCTCCAGCCACCAGTCGTCGTCCTCCTTCTTGCCGTTCCCTACCTCGTGGCGGCCGCAATCCAGGATCACGCCTGGGCGACGTCGACCGAGGGAGCAGCGCGCCGGGCAGCCGACGGCCCAGGGCGAGAGTCCACAGGACCGAGAGATGGTCTGGCCGCGGACTGCTCGCGCCCCGGAGGTCTGGCCGCCCCCGGAGCGCCGTTCCCCCGCCCCGTCGCCTTCGCGCAAGGTGCGCCCCTGGCACGCCACCGTGGTGATGACCCTGCCGTGCAGAAATGCGGGGGGGGTGCCGAAATGGGTGGGGGTGACGCATGCGGGCCGCGGCACTGAGGCCTTCGGTGGAGCTCCCTATGGAGCCACGAAACGTGTGAGGGGTGTGCCGAAATGAGTGTGGGTGACGCATGCGGCCGCGGGCACTGGGGCCTTCGGTGGAGCTCCCTATGGAGCCACGAAACGTGTGAGGGGTGTGCCGAAATGGGTGTGGGGGACGCATGCGGCCGCGGGCACTGGGGCCTTCGGTGGAGCTCCCTATGGAGCCACGAAACGTGTGAGGGGTGTGCCGAAATGGGTGTGGGGGACGCATGCGGCCGCGGGCACTGGGGCCTTCGGTGGAGCTCCCTATGGAGCCACGAAACGTGTGAGGGGTGTGCCGAAATGGGTGTGGGGGACGCATGCGGCCGCGGGCACTGGGGCCTTCGGTGGAGCTCCCTATGGAGCCACGAAACGTGTGAGGGGTGTGCCGAAATGGGTGTGGGGGACGCATGCGGCCGCGGGCACTGGGGCCTTCGGTGGAGCTCCCTATGGAGCCACGAAACGTGTGAGGGGTGTGCCGAAATGGGTGTGGGGACGCATGCGGCCGCGGGCACTGGGGCCTTCGGTGGAGCTCCCTATGGAGCCACGAAACGTGTGAGGGGTGTGCCGAAATGGGTGTGGGGGACGCATGCGGCCGCGGGCACTGGGGCCTTCGGTGGAGCTCCCTATGGAGCCACGAAACGTGTGAGGGGTGTGCCGAAATGGGTGTGGGGACGCATGCGGCCGCGGGCACTGGGGCCTTCGGTGGAGAGCCACGAAACGTGTGAGGGGTGTGCCGAAATGGGTGTGGGGGACGCATGCGGCCGCGGGCACTGGGGCCTTCGGTGGAGCTCCCTATGGAGCCACGAAACGTGTGAGGGGTGTGCCGAAATGGGTGTGGGGACGCATGCGGCCGCGGGCACTGGGGCCTTCGGTGGAGCTCCCTATGGAGCCACGAAACGTGTGAGGGGTGTGCCGAAATGGGTGTGGGGGACGCATGCGGCCGCGGGCACTGGGGCCTTCGGTGGAGCTCCCTATGGAGCCACGAAACGTGTGAGGGGTGTGCCGAAATGGGTGTGGGGGACGCATGCGGCCGCGGGCACTGGGGCCTTCGGTGGAGCTCCCTATGGAGCCACGAAACGTGTGAGGGGTGTGCCGAAATGGGTGTGGGGGACGCATGCGGCCGCGGGCACTGGGGCCTTCGGTGGAGCTCCCTATGGAGCCACGAAACGTGTGAGGGGTGTGCCGAAATGGGTGTGGGGGACGCATGCGGCCGCGGGCACTGGGGCCTTCGGTGGAGCTCCCTATGGAGCCACGAAACGTGTGAGGGGTGTGCCGAAATGGGTGTGGGGGACGCATGCGGCCGCGGGCACTGGGGCCTTCGGTGGAGCTCCCTATGGAGCCACGAACGTGTGAGGGGTGTGCCGAAATGGGTGTTGATGATGATGATGATGATGGGAGGGGGGAGGAGGCAGCGGGAGGAAGGAAGGAGAACGCGGGGCACCGTCTCTTCAAAACGAGGACCCAACACCACAGGATGGTTGGGAAATAGAGAAAAAGAGACAGAGCGAGAGAGAGAACACACAACAAAAACAGGTGCGGCTATCGGGTGATGCCTTTTGTCATTACTGTAGGGGCGTCATCTCGCAGCGGGCATGGGCAGAGGAGAAGGATCAAGATCAGAAAAGCTGGGGAACGAGCAGAGGGGGGGAAGAGGAGCTGGGGGGGGAGCAGGAGAGGGCGAGAGAGAAAGACAGAGACAGGGCGCAGAGGGCAAGGCGAATGGGAAGTAAAGAGGCAAGCGCCCCGAGATCCAGCGCCGTGAGAATCACGACGTCGCGTGGGAATTCACAACCAAAACTCCCGACCTTGTCTGTATTGCTCGATGCATTTCCAGCCAAAATTGACCCGTGATGTGTCCTAAGACTCGGGAGGAACAAGAAACGAACGCCCGCTGTATGAGCGCGCTCATGTCAGCTTCGACGTGCTACCAAAGGGCGAGAAGAGGGTACGGGAAGGAGGATACACTGGGCTGGCCTCCAGCTTCTTCACCTCACTGTCCATCAGCGACACCGCAGTCCTGATGTCCGCCATGCCCTGCTCGAGCTTGTTGGTCGTCGCCGCCAGGTCCTCCATGCAGCCTCCTACCTTCCAGACCCTCCTCCCTCTCCACACCCTCCTCATCCTCCTCCCCCTCCTCCTCCTCCTGCTCGTATCCGTTCGCTCCCCCCCCCTCGCTCCCCATAATCCTCCTGTTCCTGCCCCCTCCCCTTCCTTCCCCGCCTGCGCTACTGCCGGAAGCGCAACCGAAGTTTACGTCGCACCTCTTGAAGGGTATTGAAGGGACCCTCTGGCGAGACGAATGTCTCCTGGCCCCAGAGAACCGCGACCGTCCAGCGTCAAGGTCGAGCTCGCGACTAACAAGGTGGGCCTAGGACAAGGAAAACACCCCCTGTGCTGCTGCCTTTGTCAGTGGCTGACACGGCGGAGCACGACGCCTCCCAGGGCCAAGGGACAAGAACAAGGACCCCTACCTTGCACGGATAGGTGGCCCCACATAATCCCACCAGCCCGTTGGGCGCTGGTGGTCTAGAGCGTTTCCTCTTCCACCTCCCCCCTCCCTTTCGGAGGGGGGCTTATAACTGTTACTTATTGATAAACACCCCCTCCCCCAGTCGCCATACAAAACACACTCTGCCTCCAAATTCGGAGCATGCGCAATCAACCCGATGCGGCGTCCCCCCCACCATCCCTGTCAAAAACAATTCACAATAGTACACTTGGCGGCGGCGGCGGCGGCTGCGGCGGCTGCGGCGGCGGCGGCGGAGGTTGCGGCGGCAGCGGCGGCGGCGGAGGCGGTGGCGGCGGGGGCGGCGGGGGCGGCGGCGGCGGCGGCGGCGGCGGCGGCGGGGCGGCGGCGGCGGCGGTGGCGGCAGCGGCTGCGGCGGCAACGACTGCGGCGGCGGCGATTTGGCAGCGGAGGCGGCAGCGACAGCGGCGACGGCGGCGGCGACGGCGGCGGACAGCGGCGGCGGCGGCGGCGGCGGTGCGGCGCGGCGGCGGCGGTGGCGGTGGTGGCGGCAGCGGCTGCGGCGGCAGCGGCTGCGGCGGCGGCGATTTGGCAGCGCGGGCGGCGGCGGCGGCGCGACGATTTGGCAGCGGAGGCGGCGGCGGCGGCGACGGCGAACGGCGCGGCGGCGGCGGCGGCGACGCGGCGGACAGCGGCGGCGGCGGCGGCGGCGCGGCGGCGGCGGCGGCGGGCAACGGCGGCGGCGGCGGCGGCGGCTGCGGCGGCGGCGGCGGCGGCGGAGGCGGCGGCGGCGGCGGCGGCGGATTGGCCCCCAGTAACTACCCATCCAAAGACGACTGCTGAATATGCTCAGGCTCGGGCCAGACTCGGGTGCTACGTAGTGCTGGGAGGGCGGGTGGGAGTGAGCGAGACGGCTTGCGGGCGGGGAGGGAGTCTTGATCACTGTTCCCTATTAGTATACCCCCCAGGCGACTCGGAACCAACCCAAATCCATGCGGGCCCCCCACCCACCTCCCTGGTAAAAAACAATACAATACAATACAATCCACACTCTGCTCCCACCATCCCTTTGTACAAAAAACATACAAACCACACTTTGTCTCCAAATTCTGAGCATGCGCAGCGAACCCGATGCGGTCTCCCCCCACCATCCCTGTTAACTTATCCCGGCAAAGCAACCTAACAGCTATGTGTATGAGCATATCTGGAAGCATTCCCCTTAATATTCAAATGAGAATCCAGTTGTAAAATTCTGCTGCTCTCGCAGTCGCAGTCGCATTCGCGATGACAGTCGCAGCGGCAACGGCAGTCGCAGTCACAGCCTCGGCCTCAGCCTGCCTCAGCCTCAGCCTGCCTCAGCCTCAGCCCCAGCCTGCCTCAGCCTGAGCCTCGGCCTGCTTCAGCCTCAGCCTCAGTCTGCCTTCAGCCTCGGCCTCAGCCTCAGCCTGCCTCAGCCTCACCCTGCATCAGCCTCAGCCTCAGCAGACCTGGCCCAGGCGCCGGCCCGGGCGCCGGCTCGGGCGTCTGGCCCGGGCGCCGGCTCGGGCGCCAGCCCGCCAGCCCGAGCGTCGGAATCGCCCCGGGAGACCCCCGGGAGCAGGAAGCAAAAGTTGAGCATTTTCAAAAGAAAAGTGTGTATTAGAATGGCTTTTTTTCGGCGCCGCCTCGGAACTCGATTTTCCGGCGCCTGCCGGAACCGGCTCCAGACACGGCCTGGGCGCCGTCCCGGGCGCCGGCTCGGGCGTTCGGCCCGGGCGCCGGCTCGGGCGCCGGCCCGGGCGTCGGAATCGGCCCAGGAGGCCTCCCGGGCGCCGGAAGCAGAAATTTAGCATTTTCAAAACAAAAATGTGTATTAGAATGGCCTTTTTTCTGGCGCCGCCTCGGAACTCCATTTTCCGGGGGCGGCCAGGCGGCCGGAACCGGCTCCGGACCCAGGGCCCGAGCGCTGGCCCGGGCGCCGGCTCGGGCGTGCAGCCCAGGCGTCGGCGGAAATGATGCCAGCGCTGCAGCGGGAGCACGATTCGGAACGATCCAAGCGGGGCCCGAAAATGAGGCCGGCGCCTCAGCGAGAGCAGCATTTTGGAAAAATTCAAACGGAAACCGAACTCCAGTGAGACCTGCCTGAAGGCCCTGGGTAGTAAGTAACAGTTAGCGGAACTTACAACTGTTGCTAACTGAGTTATAACTAATTAGATTTGGCCATTGTGAAGCTGTTTTGTCGATGTTTATGTTGTGTTTTTGCAACTCATGTAGTTGGAAACTGGGGCATCATGATTGGTCGCTTCGTCGATCTGAATCTGCTCAGCCGGCCAGCAGAATTGGTTTTTCGCCCTGGGGCAAACGACGGTTCGCAGTGCATCATGCTAGCAACACCGCGATGTGTATTCCACTGGCCAAATACACGCGATGTCGTTCTCTATTTTCCTGTAAACCACAGGAGCTTTCAGCGAGGTCAGAGGCATCAAAACAGGGCCTGTATCATCTAAAAAACATGTGTCTGGAAAAACCTTCAGCGGCATTCACATGCTTAGTTGCAAGCTGCTGGACCAGCACCTGCGACTCGCCATCGTCGCATGTCACGTGAAACCACACTTGCACTGCTGCATGCATTCCGCCCGACCCCAGAAGTACGATATCACCGCGCCTGATGCGGCCGTAATCTGCGTTGGCTTCGACGCTGGAGACGGCTGTCTGCGCCCCAGGGCACATGCGTTTCAACGCATTCAGCAACTTCTGTGTTGCGTTCGTTGGGTCGACTAAGCCAGTTGAAACACGCGCGGTCTTTAAATCGCGCGCGCGCTGCGCAGTGAGTTGGACCATGAGAGCCCTATCTGGCCCCTTCTTGCTCATGTGATCTTTGGCGAAACGTTTTACGAATTTATGCTTGCGTTCCTGGACAAAGCAACTGAGTGACCCATGTGTGTTTCAAACATTTTTGGCAAATGTGTTGCCATATGGTGCTTATACACCCAATAGCTTTCACCGTGCGCGCCCTGATGGCACCGAAGATGTTTCACTATCGCTGACTCTATCTGCGCGGTTGTGACTGGAAGCCGCCGCGCCGCCGCGATGATCAAGTCAACGGCATCTTGCAATGCCAGCATGCTTGCGATCTGGGGGGGGGGGGGGGGGGGGGCACTAGATCCGATGAAGGATGCTTGGCAATCACTTGCCGAATATACCTACACAAAACAAGCAACGTTGAGAGCTCCTCTGAGGCACCTGCTTGGAGCTCACCAGTCTCCCATACAGTTGCGGCTGAGTGGTGTTTGCTCGGCCACGTCCACTTCGTGAAATAATCATGCAAAACGCTTGCATCACACAAATGCTTGAACTGCGCATGCCCTAAAAGTGCTCTTACTGCTTTGTCGAATATACAAGCCGCGAAGTTAATGTGCATCCAGTCAAAGCAAAAGAATGACGCAGGGAGATATCGCAAACCTGGGTCTGGCGCTATGTGTTCGGGGTGGAAATCCCATCCTTTGTGCTGTGTGATGGTCGCGCACTGCCCCTCCGAAAACTCCCCCCGCTGAAATTTATCCCAATCGGGCCGGATTCGTTCCAGGATCGCGATGATTGTCGCGTCGTCGTTTCTGCGGATCTTGGACGCATCCAAACGCGCGTCTGTCACAAAGATACCAGATGCATCATAGGGAAGGTAATCAAAGTTTCTATTCAGAACGTTGCGACATAACGCGCAGGGCTTGGAACCAGCGCGCCCTTTATGTATGTGTAGATCCCGCAGTGCCTCTTCGCCCCCTATGACGCGCGAAAGCTGCGCGACGATCGTGGCGCGCGGCGTTGCGTCGCCGTTCTCTGACACGTCTAACGTAACGCCGCTCGTCTCAAAATTGAAACCACCAGCAACATTTTTTATATAAAAAACACTTCTGTGAGGATCATCTTGGCGCTCTGCCCGATGCCACCTGGTATGCTTTTAATTGTTGCGCACCGCGCAGTGTCAAGCGTGGACCGCGCATCTTCGTTACCCAAGGACTCGTCGAACTCAGCGAACGACCAATAAACAGCATCAACCCCCCGATAATCTTTTCCTTTCGCCAGGGGGTCTCGCGGTGAAATACCATCGAAATATAGAGCGATGTGCCGCGGCGACGCCAAGCTGCATGGGCGCGCCTGAAGAGAGCGGCGAAACAGCTCCCTGACTGGAGCGCTAGCCCTGCAGCAGGAATACACACATGGCCCAGGACAGTACACCCAGTTCTCAAAATGTCTACCACTGCCTGAAGGCGTGTCGATGCAACGCAAGACATTCCCATATGCATTCGACTCTTTGGAAATGGCGTTTTCGTTTGCCGTGTATTGTGAGCTCCGTGAAATAGCGTCGGGCAACCCATGGCCTCGCACATAGTTTAGGGCACCCGCCAGTGCACGCTGTGACAGGTATGAGCCCCAGTGGAGCTCCACCAGCGCCTCATCCGCCATGCGGCGCCAGGAGGCGGACGCGGCCACGGTTTGAGCCCAAATGGCTACAGACTCGATGACGGTGTCCGTGTGCGTCATAGGATGCATGCGTCGTGTTACGGTAAGGGCACGCTGCATGATGCAGCTGAATGCAGTGAGACGGTAGCTCACAACAGAAGTGCACGCTGCATATCGA